CTTGGTTGCAAATGGGTCTTCCAAATGGACAATGACCCCAAGCATACTTCCAAAGTTGCAGCAAAATGGCTTAAGGACAACAAAGTCAAGGTATTGGAGTGGCCATCACAAAGCCCTGACCTCCATCCTATATAAAATTTGTGGGCAGAACTGAAAATGCGTGTGCGAGCAAGGAGGCCTACAAACCTGACTCAGTTACACCAGCTCTGTCAGGAGGAATGGGCCAAAATTCACCCAACTTATTGTGGGAAGCTTGTGGAAGGCTACCCGAAACGTTTGACCCAAGTTAAACAATTTAAAGGCAATGCTACCAAATACTAATTGAGTGTATGTACACTTCTGACCCACTGGGAATGTGATGAAAGAAATAAAAGCTGAAATAAATCATTCTCTCTACTATTATTCTGACATTTCACATTCTTAAAATAAAGTGGTGATCCTAATTGACCTAAGACGGGGAATTTTTACTAGGATTAAATGTCAGGAATTGTGAAAAACTGAGTGTATATGTATTTGGCTAAGGTATATGTAAACTTCCGATATCACACAACAGAACTTTGTAAGGCAGAAAATGAACTCTGCTTCTATATTTAGCTCTACTTTTTGGTATAAAAGGTAATGTGCCCTAACCATATAAGATCATGACAGTAAATAGGAAACCACAAAGATTAGGAATGAAATGTCCATTGAACCGTATATGAACTATTCAGCCTGGCCGCTCAGACTAGAAGTAACATAGTAAACGTACATTTGTTACTCTAAAAATGAAAGGGGAACGATGTGGGCGTATCATGCAAATGTTTAGCAACCCAAAGGTTGCGTGTTCCAATCACATCACAGACAACTTTTGCATTTTAGCTAATTAGTAACTTTGCAACTACAAAAAAGGGTTATTCGGCTGTCCCCACAGGATAACACTGTTTGGTTCCAGGTAGACCTCTTTTTGGTTCCATGTAGAACCCTTTTGGGTTCCATGTGGTAGAACCCTCTGTGAAAAGGGTTATACTTGGAACCCAAAAGGTTTCTACCTGGAACCAAAAAAGGTTCTCCAAAGGGTTCTCCTAATTAATACATATCATACTAAATGAAGGAACACAAATTTACATTTCCTATGTTAAAACGACCCCTGAGACAACGTTGAACTATTGGGACAGACAGGGATGAAACATACTGTACATTAACTATTGGGACAGACAGGGATGAAACATACTGTACATTAACTATTGGGACAGACAGGGATGAAACATACTGTACATTAACTATTGGGACAGACAGGGATGAAACATACATAAAGTATTGGAACTATGACATCTTTACACATAGCATGGTGCTCCAGTCTGTCTGTGCTTCAGTAAACTCATTTATGTGTTCTATGTGTTCGTTTATTTTCATGCCAAACATACGTAAGGCATGACAATGATAGAAGCGTTGGCTACAGCACAGAGTACAGGACAAGGCTACTTTTACAGAGTGTAAAGACACAAATACTGGTTGTGTGACAAATGAACAAACAAACAAATCATTTTAAACCTTCAATTCCCTCTGAGAACATTGGCTGGAAAACTAACTGCTGTGTGATGGAAGTGAACTTGTAAAGCTGGGGTATTTCAAATCAAATTTGATTTGTCACATGCTTTGTAAACAACAGGTTTAGACTAACAGTGAAATGCTTACTTACGGGCCCTAATGTTCTGTCCATACCTTTGTTAGGCATTCTACTGAAATCTTACTTTAGCGGTCCTGATACATACATTATTGTCCCACACCTACAGTATATTTTCCAGTTTCTATATATTTAAGACTATATACAAAATAACATATTTCAAATATCAAACGCCCCTTAGATTTTTGAACAGTCTGTACAAACATCAAATTATATTTAGAATACATTTCCATGACCCTTGATGCTATTTTAGCTCACAACTAGAATGGATTTTATTATCATTGTAAACATTGTGACTTCTATGCAAATGCATACATACTGTATATACAAAAAGAGCAGCATAACACTGGACCATATAAAACATAACAGTTGTGTGCTATTCAGTTCTGGTGTTCCTTCATACCGTCTCTTCACAAGTCTCCCTTCGAATTCTCTCTTGGAATTATCCTGTGGAATTTGAGAATCCCTTGGAATTCCTCATTTAAATAACATTTTGTTTCAAAAATGTTACTTTTTCCTGCACCCTGAGATTTGGAGAGGGTGCCTCCCTTTGAAACATTAATAAAGTTGTTTTCTACAATTACAGTGCCTTCAGAAAGTATTCACACCCCTTGACCTTTTCCACATTTTGTTGTGTTACAGCCTGGATTTAAAATGGATTAAATTGAGATTTTTTTTGTCACTGGCCTACACACAATACCCCATAATGTCAAAGTGGAATTATGTTTTTAGAAATGTTCACAAATTAATTAAAAATGAAAAGCTAAAATGTCTTCAGTCAATAAGTATCAACCCCTTTGTTATGGCAAGCCTAAATTAGTTCAGGAGTAAAAATTTGCTTAACAAGTCAAATAATAAGTTGCATGGACTGCAATAATAGTGTTTATCATGATTTTTGAATGACTACCTCATGAACCCCACACATAAAATTATCTGTAAGGTCCCTCAGTCAAGCAGTGAATTTCAAACACAGATTCAACCACAAAGACCAGGGAGGTTTTCCAATTCCTGCAAAGAAGGGCACCTACTGGTAGATTGGTTTAAAAAAAAGCAGACATTAATATATCCCTTTGAGCATGGTGAAGTTATTAATTACACTTTGGATGGTGTATCAATACACCCAGTCACTACAAAGATACAGGCGTCCTTCCTAACTCAGTTGCCGGAGAGGAAGAAAAACGCTCAGGGATTTCACCATGCGGCCAATGGTGACTTTATAACAGTTACAGAGTTTAATTGCTGGGATAGGAGAAAACTGAGGATGGATCAACAACATTGTAGTTACTCCACATTACTAACCTAATTGATAGAGTGAAAAGAAGGAAGCCTTTACAGAATACAAAATATTCCAAAACATGTATCCTGTTTGCAACAAGGCACTAAAGTAATGCTGAAAAACATGTGGCTAAACAATTACCTTTTTGTCCTAAATACAAAGTGTTATGTTTGTGGCAAATCCAACACAACACATCACTGAGTACCACTCTCCATATTTTCAAGCATAGTGGTGGCTGCATCATGTTATGGGTATGCTTGTAATCATTAAGGACTGGGGAGTTTTTCAGGATAAAAATGAAATGGAATAGAGCTAAGCACAGGCAGAATCCTAGAGGAAAACCTGGTTCTGTCTGCTTTCCACCAGACTCTGAGAGATTAATTCACCTTTCACCAGGACAATAACCTAAAACACAAGGCAAAATCTACACTGGAGTTGCTTACCAAGAAGACAGTGAATGTTCCTGAGTAGCCGAGTTACAGTTTTGACTTAAATCTGCTTGAAAATCTATTGCAAGACTTGAAAATGGTTGTTTAGCAATGATCAACAATCAATTTGACAGAGCTTGAATAATTTTGAAAAGAATAATAGGCAAATATTGTACAATCCAGGTGTGCAAAGCTCTTAAGATACTTACCCAGAAAGACTCACAGCTGTAATCGCTGCCAAAGGTGATTCTAACATGTATTGACTCAGGGTTGTGAGTACTTATGTAAATTAGATATTTCTGTATTTCCTTTTCAATAAATTTGCATAAATGTCTAAAAACATGTTTTCATTTTGTCATTATGGGGTATATTGTGTAGATGGGTGAGAGAATATGTTTTATTTAATCAATTTTGAATTCAGGCTGTATATAACAAAATGTGGAATAAGTCAAGGGGTATGAATACTTTCGGGAAGGCACTGTACAGCATATAAAAACTTTTTAGAAATCCTCTTAACACCGTCTCTCCCACTCCATTGATATGTTTCGGTTACTTTTATATTGTGAAACAGAATATTATCATTGAAGAATTTAATAATCAACACATCATTGAAACAACATAACCTTCCATAGTCATTACACTGTTGAATATCAGGATAGTCTCTTTTAAATAGCAAAAATAAAAACTGTACAAAAAGTTGATAATCATGGGAAATGTCTTCCATTGGGCCTTCCTCCATATCAATCAACACTAGAAGCCAGCACACCTCTGAAACTACAGACTAGCTCAAACTGATGCACTAGAATGGTGGGTTTGGAGTACCTGAGTTTAAATCCCTTCTACATCAAAGTGGGTTAGGTTTTCTGAATTTACATCCATATTTCAAACCAATTGAAATGTGGTGAGATCTCCCCAACCATGCAGGCAGAATCAACTGCAGCCAGGCATTTCCTCATATCACTAGGAGTTCCTAATGTAACATATGTAAGCTAGTGAGCTGTACGCTAATTTATACATCCGCTACACTAACATAAGCTAACATGCTCCTGGCAGAATGAGGACCTACATATACTGTTAGGCACCTTCAACCACAGGACCTGTGGACCATCAATGCTGTAGGTTTCAGTCAGACACGTTAGCCTACTGTCCATCCACAGACCATTCATGATCCACAAGATTTATAATAGTTTTAGAATGTGAAAAAGGAAAATCTGCAAGTTGGTTTTCATCAATTATAAATTACCTGCTGCAACTCATTGAAGGCAGTGAAATAAAACAAAACAAATATGAATTTTTGTCCGTATGGCAGGTGGAATTAGTCTTAAAAGAGCGGCAGTACAATAGAGAAGGTGATTGTCTGTGTTGGTGGCTCACCTCAAACATTGAGGTATCCTTTTAGCCATGAGCCTTTGTCCTCCAGTCCTTATCCACCCACTAAAATCCTGGCTCGATTCACAGGAGAAAAACTGCCAGTGTCGACGAAAGGCAGCCATCCTCCTACTGTATAACATCCTGAGAATAATGACTGGTGCTATGCTCCATGACTGAGTTCGTCCTCACAACGGAGGGGCTATTGGCTGCATGAAGGTCCCCATGACATGACTGTCTCTCACTAGAGGTCACATGAACATCACATAACGGTCTCCCGCTCCTCCTCCACCACAGGCGAGGGTTTCTCCTCCTCTACAGAATGCGGTGGCTCGTTATTGGACGGCTGCTCCTCTTCGGGAATGTGTAACTCCTGTCCCGAGGAAGGGATAGAGTGCTCGGAGACGGAACCGTTCTTCACATAACCTGGGAGGTTCCGGTGCCCGTTGATGGTGACTGGGGCCCCAAGGCGCGTGGTGAGATGGAGGGCCAGGGGCCCCCGGGCAGTGACGTTGGTTACACTGGTGTGAGACACCATAGGTCCATAACTATACGTGTTACTGCCACTACGGGCTTTACGTTTAAAGTCCAGCGCTAGTGTCCTCCTGCTCCAGGTTTTCTTAATTTCCGCCTGGACCTAAAGGAAGATGGAAAGAAATGAGATTGTCACTACATCTAAACTACTGTGGCATATTAATCAGGCACGTGCACGGATATGTGTCTACCTGTGCCCAAGCATCTGCCCCTTTGCCCTCCCACTCGCCTAGTGCCCTTTTGGGTGGTGGTAGAACTTTTTTTTAATACAGTTTTAGTCGTTGTTGTTCTGAACCCACGTCGTCGTTACGTAGTCAAGTTCGCCACCCCCCACCCCTCCTGTCCGTTGGTGTGCCCTGTACGGAGCTCACGTGTGCCCGGTACTGCCTTTTTCACAGTCTGACCTGTATGGGGATTGCGTGCGCCCGGTATCCAAACATGCATAGCTTGTGATGCAGGTCACCGGTTGAGTGTGTGTGTAGCAAGCTACCTAGTTTAAATATCAACAGTACTGCATAACATTTGATTATCACTTGATAACACTTGATTTACCATCATCAATATCTGTCTGGTTGGCTGATAGACTACGTGCAGCAGCCCTTCATCATTTATTTCCTTATAGAATCATAGCCGTGGGAAGGGTGCTGGAGGTGCTGTAGAACCCCTGATAAATTGAAATAATTCAGAATAGCCTACTACACCATGAGTAGGCCTATAATTTAGCCACAGAGGATCAATGGCTTCTTTTTTTTTTAAATAGCATAGCTGTGGATTGTGTGTAGCCCAATAACAATGCAGTCGGGAACGCACAGCAAATCTGTCAGTGAACAGCATGCATAAAAAACAGGCCTTTCACAATATTTCAAATACAATCGTTGGAAAACACAGGTTGGAAAGCAAATGGCTCCTGCTGAAAAGAGAATATGAATCTCTCTGCTGTAGGCTACCAAAATATTTTATCTACTTCCAAATAGGCCTATTGAGCGAACATTGTTTACAAGAGAGAGATAGGCTTTTGGCACGAGCACATCGGCCATTGCTGGCGAGTGACCTGCACATCATTGGGTGAGTCAGTTAAACTGGAAAGCTTTTTTAAGACTATAATTTCATCCTCATATTGTACAATATGTGTGTCTCCACATACCTAGGCCTAGGCTATTGATGGATTCAAAACAAGGTTGTTTTTTATTGATCTCAGATTCTCAGTTTGTCACTGTCAAAGTAGCTTGTCATTTTGATCATTTGTGCGGTATTCAAAACAAGGTTGTTTTTTATTGATCTCAGATTCTGTTTGTCACTGTCAAAGTAGCTTGTCATTTTGATCATTTGTGCGGTATTAAAAACGATTCTGTCATGTAAAATGATGTAGAATTGCACGAAATGCGTTTATAAGTAGGCCCACATCTATTCCCCCCCATATGTGCAACTTCTGTAAGCGCCTCTACTCTAGGCTACTTCTCTATACCCACTACGCAATTGCGATGATATGCATGCAATGCTTTATTATAGCCTAATTTTTGTTTATTTCATGCATTCTGGTACCTCAGAGCTCCCTAGGTCACCCCCCTCTCTCGCTCACTTTTTGTTCCTCCGAAATTAACAAATGAAGCACTGAACACAGGTAGTCTAGACTCTAGCTAACCACCATATACAAAAATATCCACAAAAACCTCTAGTCAGCCATATATCATGAGTTAGAAGATTATGCATATTAGGCTATATTATTAAGTTATTATTTAAGATCATTGACGATATAAATCACAACCAGTAACTAGCAGATTTACATCAATCATCAACATCAATGATCAGCTGATAGCCTACCCTCTTTTCCCAATGTCAATCATGTCTTCAAGAGGCATGGTAACTAGCTTGCTTACAATTTGTGATGAGTGAGTGTGTTGCAGAAATAAATAGGCCTATTCATTTTGAGAGCCTGGCCCCCTGAAAGGTCTGTGCACAGCCCTGCATACAATAATTGAGTCTCAGATTTTTGGTGTGCATACTGTGACTGCAATTAATCATGAGCATAATATTATATTACCCTTTGTTGGCAATGACACAGGTCAAACGTTTTCTGTAAGTCTTCACAAGGATTTCACACACTGTTGCTGGTATTTTGGCCCATTCCTCCATGCAGATCTCCTCTAGAGCAGTGATGTTTTGGGGCTGTTGCTGGGCAACACGGACTTTCAACTCCCTCCAAAGATTTTCTATGGGGTTGAGATCTGGAGACTGGCTAGGCCACTCCAGGACCGTGAAATGCTTCTTACGAAGCCACTCCTTCATTGCCCGGGCAGTGTGTTTGGGATCATTGTCATGCTGAAAGACCCAGCCACGTTTCATCTTCAATGCCCTTGCTGATGGAAGGAGGTTTTCACTCAAAATCTCACGATACATGGCCCCATTCATTCTTTCCTTTACACGGATCAGTCGTCCTGGTCCCTTTGCAGAAAAACAGCCCCAAAGCATGATGTTTCCACCCCCATGCTTCACAGTAGGTATGGTGTTCTTTGGACGCAACTCAGCAGTCTTTTTTACTCCAAACACGACGAGTTGAGTTTTTACCAAAAAGTTATATTTTGGTTTCATCTGACCATATGACATTCTCCCAATCCTCTTCTGGATCATCCAAATGCACTCTAGCAAACTTCAGACGGGCCTGGACATGTACTGGCTTAAGCAGGGGGACACGTCTGGCACTGCAGGATTTGAGTCTCTGGTGGCGTAGTGTGTTACTGATGGTAGGCTTTGTTACTTTGGTCCCAGCTCTCTGCAGGTCATTCACTAGGTCCCCCCGTGTGGTTCTGGGATTTTTGCTCACCGTTCTTGTGATCATTTTCACCCCACGGGGTGAGATCTTGCGTGGAGCCCCAGATCGAGGGAGATTATCAGTGGTCTTGTATGTCTTCCATATCCTAATAATTGCTCCCACAGTTGATTTCTTCAAACCAAGCTGCTTACCTATTGCAGATTCAGTCTTCCCAGCCTGGTGCAGGTCTACAATTTTGTTTCTGGTGTCCTTTGACAGCTCTTTGGTCTATATTATATATCAGGATTACATATTTTGTCTTAAATAATAGACTATAATCTATCATGATTTCCTTGAAGACATTTTCACAGATAAATATTAATAAAATTGTTCAAAGTTGTCCTTACCTCCCCATTGCAGAAACAATATATAATTGCCACAAAGAATCCCTGAAAAGAAGATAAAACATTATAACATTTTTGCGTATGCCTCAAAGTTCACAGGTTGATCTGAGCATCTATCCAGAGCACTCTAGAAGAATACCATACAATATAAAGTGACTCTTCAACACCAGCTGCTTACTCTGAAAACACTGAGCTGTGCAGCTCTCTCAAATTCTTACTCATAAAAGTTTAATCACAACTCAATACTTCATTATGTGTAGCACACCACTAGAGCAGATGCAGTGTCCCATTGTGGACTTTGGCCGATTGATCTAGCTCCTTTTTACAGTACTGTAGTAGCTCACCATTTCGGATCCATTGCTGGCTGCCTGTGACTAAACCCACATGCGGTAAAACAACATTAGTTCGATCGTTCATTCATTCATGTGGTACAAGACCAGTCAGTACCTGGAATGAATTGAAGAGCATCTCGTAGTGCATCTGTATCTGCCAGGGCACTCCAGTTACCTCAGTATAAGGCATGGCCATGAACACTATGTAGTGAACGCCAAACAGTGGCATCAGGACCAAAGTAGACTTCAACAGTTTCCTGTGGAGGGAATGAATAATAGCAGTGGTTCATTTTACATTTATTGTGACATTTACTGTGTGTGACAGTTGTGATGGGGAGTTCAATTTTATATTATCATGGACATTCACTGTATTATTCATTTTCATACATACTGTATTACTGACATGACATTGATCAATGAGATTTCAACCTTTATTCACCCACTCAAAAAGACATCCAGAAGTTTATTGCATTCTCATTGTGTTATCACTATGCTTTTAACCATCTAAATGTACAACCGAATTCAGATATCTGTTCAGATGTCAGATATTTGGTTTAGTTGTCATCTAAATGTTTTATCAGTGCACTTTCAACCATTTAAAAGCACAACACAGTTCAGATATCTGTTCAGATGTCAGATATTTTGTATTTATACAACAACTTATTTCATCAATGTGCTTCATCTAATAGCACAACCAAATTACCTGGATTGCAGCTTTGATAACATTAAAAGTACAGTGCAAGTGATCAATGCTGTTCAAGATTCTGCACAGATTATTATAGCAACTCCACAGACCTGCAACCTTTGCATGCTATCTTGAACATGCACACTTTCTATGATTACATAAGACAACTTAGTTATAGTAACCTCAAAATGTGGCCATGAATGTGTTACTCATTTTAATGTTGAATAAATACTGTTACATTAGTTTCTAAGATAGACTTAATTTTTAACTGTCTATTAACTGTATAACAAAAGTAGTATTGAATTGTGTTTGGTTGACAACTCAACCAAATATCAACATTTAAAGGAGATGTATCTAATGATTGGATAGTTTCATCTGAGCCACTGGCTTAGTCCTATTCCGTAACTTTTATTTTTGGTTTAGTTGGAGACGTGAATCCAACATATAATTTTTTAACTTGTTTACACGCTAATAGGCTATTTACATCTCCATATCAACCAAAAATCGAAGTAAAAGAATATGATGAAATCAAATCATACTTGATTGAAAGTGCATTTAAAGTTAGATTTTATATTATTTAGTCCAATTCATTAACTTTGATATTTGGTTGAGATTGAGACGTAAATCCAACATATTATAACTTTGTAGACAAACTAGAATTAAAGCCAGACTAAGTCAGTGGCACAGATGGAACTATCCAAGCAGAAGATATAATATATCTCCTTCAAATGTTGATATTTGGTTGCATTGACAACCAAATACAATTGAATATCCAGTTTGTCTTCAAAATAATAATTGATATGTTGGATTCACTTCTCCATCTCAACCAAAGATCAAAGTTAAAGAATAGGACTAAATCAAATCAAAGCAATCTTTAAATGCACTTTAAATAAAGTTTGATTTGATTTAGTCCTATTCTTTATCTTTGACTTTTGGTTGAGATGGAGATGTGAATCCAACATATTAATTATAAACTTGTATATCACATTTGAAATCAACCAAAGCTTGAAACCCTAGGGGCTCTATTTTAACAAACCTAACACAATGGTAAATCTTAGTGCGGGCGGTAGCGCTATAGCTTCAGGGGTGTGTCAGAAATATTTTAGCTAATTTCACAACCTGAATTATGGGCGCAGTAGCTGGCGGTGGCGCGAAAGTTATAAAGTTATAATAAAAAAGTTGTGTGTGTTGGAGCTTGACACCTCACTGGCCAATCAGAACGTGCTCCATGGCTTAATACGTGGATGCTTCAAGTTGTGAATTTATGGTCTTTTATGTATTGCATTGTCATTAACTCCAATTCGAATGTTAGTCCATTATAGCCTAGTTCGTTAAATACCCTGCCCCATATTTGCTAAATATGTTGAACATGTTTGCAGTCCACATTTTTCTAATTGCATTGCTTCAGTATGGGAATACATGGTTAAACATAGACTATAGCATTCACATTGATATAGGGGCTAGGCCTACTGTAAATTGCAGTCTGGACATGCCAAACGTAGTCAATAAGCAAAATTAAACTCACTAAGCTATTGATAAGGCCTAAAAAGACAGTGTATAATTATAATCAAATTCTAATAATAATGAAACAACAACCTGTTTTAAATAGGCTATGTCTAAATACAGTTACAGGCACCATAATGGCTTATATTGGGCATATACAACAAACAAGGCAACTTAGACTATGGAGGGTTTTACACACATGCAAACCTTTCACAGAAACTGGACAAAGATCCAATATAAAGAGAAAGTGGGATTGTTCACTAACCATTATAATGCTCCCAAATGTAATGTTTTATAAACATAATGGAACCATCTTACAAATCATATTTGCACTTCTCCAGAAATAGGCTAAATTGCATTGCATTTGAGTTCTTAACATAAACCCATGGACTGTTAATCTTTCTAATTAGTTTGGTCTTTAATCAAATTAAACAAAAAACAATCAATCTGTTTTTTTAAACAACAACAATATTTCTAAATAGGATCAGGTCAGAAGCATGATATAATAAATTGCATCTCTCGTTCCATGAGCATAAGGCAATGTGTACACGCGTAGGCCTAAGGGCTCTTCGGCAGTATAAATAGTATACAGTAACCCTACAATAGGCCTAGATATAACAAACATGTAGCCGATAAAGTTTTTTTGGTTTCAACATGGAAATATTAGTCTACACACATTGCATTCACATTTCGAAAATGCACTGCATCTTCGAGCCATAGACAATTGGATATTGACCAAACGTTGTAATAAGATTAGCCTCCCATCGCCGTTGATATGGCCTGTTAGTGACATTGCCAAGTCAAAGGTAAACAAACAAACAGGAAAATAGTCTACGCTACAAGCGGATTCCTGCGATTTTACAGTTGAAAACAGATGAAAGTGCAAGACGCTTTTTTAAAAAACAAAATGATAAAGGAAAAACAATAAGCAGTCTATTGTAATAATTCATCTTCCTAAACAGACATCCATACAGTCACTGACACCTTTCATTCAATGGGCATCAAACATAGGCCTAATGAGTCCAAACTTTTCACAGAAGCTGCATGGACAAAAATAATATCCAATATAAAGAAAAAAACAGGAATGTCAGTTGACTGCTCTGCTGTTTGTGATACTTTAATAAAACATTGGTTATAGGCTACTGATTAAGCTGTGCGCCTACACTGGCAAAATCGATGCCATAACCAGTTGCATTACCGCTAAGACCAGTTTTTGTTGAGTCTTAAATATCACCTGTAGCGCTGCTTGAAATTGACACATTGGTGCACATTTTTAAGGACACACCTCCCACCTCAGCGCAAGCGAGCGGATATACAGTGGCTTGCGAAAGTATTCACCCCCCTTGGCATTTTTCCTATTTTGTTGCCTTTTGGGGGGGGTTGTATCATTTGATTTACACAACATCCCTACCACTTTGAAGATGCAAAATATTTTTTCTTGTGAAACAAACAAGAAATAAGACAAAAAAACAGAAAACCTGAGCGTGCATAACTTGCGCCAGACATAGCGTTTTCCTTGATGGCCAAAAAGCTCAATTTTAGTCTCATCTGACCAGAGTACCTTCTTCCATATGTTTAGGGAGTCTCCCACATGCCTTTTGGCAAACACCAAACGTGTTTGCTTATTTTTTTCTTTAAGCAATGGCTTTTTTCTGTCCACTCTTCCGTAAAGCCCAGCTCTGTGGAGTGTACGGCTTAAAGTGATCCTATGGACAGCTCCTTCAGGGTTACCTTCGGTCTTTTTGTTGCCTCTCTGATTAATGCCCTCCTTGCCTGGTCCGGGAGTTTTGGTGGGTGGCCCTCTCTTGGCAGGTTTGTTGTGGTGCCATATTCTTTCCATTTTTTAATAATGGATTTAATGGTGCTCTGTGGGATGTTCAAAGTTTCAGATATTTTTTTTATAACCCAACCCTGATCTGTACTTCTCCACAACTTTGTCCCTGACCTGTTTGGAGAGCTCCTTGGTCTTGATGTTGCCGCTTGCTTGGTGGTGCCCCTTGCTTAGTGGTGTTGCAGACTCTGGGGCCTTTCAAAACAGGTGTATATATACTGGGATCAAGTGACAGATCATGTGACACTTAGATTGCACACAGGTGGACTTTATTTAACTAATTATGTGACTGCTGAAGGTAATTGGTTGCACCAGATCTGATTTAGGGGCTTCATAGCAAAGGGGGTGAATACATATGCATGCACCACTTTTCCGTTATTTATTTATTATAATTTTTTATAAGATAAATTACCAAGCCTGGCACCAGTGCTGCCTTTTACAAGTTGAAATTGCCAAAGTGTGTGTTTGACACTAGTGCCGCCTTAACGCCAGCCAAAAATAGAGCCATAGGACTATATATATTCTCTATTTTTAGTTGAACCCTGGGTTAAATTGAAATATGGTTTCATTTCATTTGCTCTATTAACCTTTTCACACATACCAACAAACGGGTGTGATCGTTCTACAGTGGTCCCTGCAGCGTACGCTCAAACCAGTGTGATTAGAATGCTTATTTAGAATGTTCCGTTTTGATTGAATCAACAGTCAGTATTTGAGCTAGCCACATTGGTTTTTCACAGAAACATTTTGGACAAACACAGTCCTTACAAAGTTATGTCCTGAATGTGAACAATTTATTCACAGAAGTAGCAACAGCATACACAATCATCCAAACCGGAAAAAGTAGGCTACATTAGTCCTAGCGCTAACTGAGGAAAGATTGACGTAACACAAGTATTTAGAGAACTCTCGGCTGACAGAAACCACCATATGAATTAGCTAATAGCAATTACTATTTATAATTCATCACATCACGGGTGATCTCAACACTGATCACAATAATTAAGTAAAAAACTTTCTAGAATTCGAAAGTAATCCGACGATGTGTAGTTTGTGCGTGCCACCATGTTTTTTTCCCCGCGTCAACCAAAGATATTAAGAGGAGACAAGATGAGTTAGGTCTGTTTGCAGTATGCATGTTGAAGGGGGTGTGTCGTCTGTGATCATTAACTTCCCTTCATTCACTTCCGGAAGTTTCTTCGAAAGATGAGTGAACCATTCCTTCACCTCATTATAAC